CACAACGAGTAAACCTCACTCGTACACATACCGATCGAAAACACTTGTAGTACACGTATGTCGTGTATGGCTACCTTAAAGCATAAGTGTTCGATCTTACGTGGCAAGACTTTCTAATAGACTATAAGAGCCGAAGCAAGAGATGTTGGCATTACTGGAATAATAAAAAAAATATATTAAAAGAATTATTCCAGTACACTAGTATTTCGAAAAAGGTATTAAAAAAGCTCTTATATTTATATTTAGAAGCTTTAAGCTCATCTTTCTCCTTCAAATAAGGCTTTATGAAGACTTAAGTGATGAAATCTATTGTAAAATATTTTGGCATTTTAATAATAAATTCCTTTTATGGCTGCTCATGGCTTTTATTGCTTAATGCAATACAATTTTTCATGGCAGTGTAAGAGGAGGAATATGTCACAAGCTTTCAGCCAGTATAACTTTACTACCCTTGAATGTTTTATAAATTTATTTAATTTCCAAACGTATTGTAAATGTTAGCATTTCACCCAACTTTTGTTTTCACTTTTGTTTTTAATTTACCTAAAATCGTTTTAATATTACAAATTGAACGCAGCTGACAGTCGAATGCGTCTTACTTCTTCCGGCATTTTTAGCAATAGCAATAACAACAACAACACCAGCCACCACAATCCAATCGTAAAACATTTGCCGTCACTCTATAATACTTTGTATTTACATGCATTTGAGCTTATCGCCCATACCGCCGACAATATCAACACCACCCATTCCACAATGGGATATAAGAGTACTCATGCATACTACATTCATACACACATACATGTACATATCTACGTATATTTAACTGTATGAATGTAGAGCTTCTAACATGCAACCCTTATCACATTACCCCACGAACTTTGTAACATTTTTTTCGAGCATTTCAACTCGAACTCACACTTTCGCTCTTGTTGTTGCTGCTGTTGTTGTTGTTGGTGTTTTGAATTATTTTCCGTATTTTTCGTTTATCCATTTCCTTTGCGACCACTTGAGCAATGTCCTTGCTAAGCTTAGGCAGCTCCTTTTCTAGTAGTGGATTACATACTCGTATACACAGTGTGCAATTGTATATAAGTATTTGTAAATATGTATGTATGTATGTATATACATTTTATGTGTTTATCCAACCATGCTTTGTATTGTATTGTGCTTTATTATACTTTTTACCACCCTCTCCCACACGCACGTATTTACGGGTACAATATATACATACATACATACATACCATTCGAATACACACTTGCTTAGCCATGCACTTGTGTTTTATATTCACAAAATGAGTCATGCAAAGTATCGAAACATTGTTGCCGACTTTAAGCTTTACATATACATATAGTATGTATGTATACAAATATATGTACATGGCTATGTACATATAAATTTATATTACAAAACTCAAATAAACAAGTGAAACTCATTTGCTTATACCCCAAGAAATCCTTTGGCCAACTACCTACCTGTATTTGCTGTTGGTGTTGTTGTTATTGCCGTCGGCAACTTTGCTTATTCTCTTTTGTTTTATTTGAGCTTATTTTATTTATTTTCTTACTTCGTGTCATTCTAAAGCTTAGCGTATAAACACCCTCTGCAACAAAATTCTCGCGTAGTAGGAGATACCTTCTTCAGTTAGTTCTCCGGACACTCTTTAACTGCGGTTGGGATGTGATAGGTTGGAAAGGTTGGTGAATTTCTTAGTCTTCCGTATTTTATGTTTACTTTTATTTATTTATGGTAGGTACTATTTTTCATTTTTACTACTTTTATATACACTTTCGTGCCCGTTTGCATACACTTTTTCTATTTTCAGTAAAATTCGTAATCAATAAAGTTGAGAAGGCGAAAAACGTTAGTCGGTGTTTATTTTAATTTATTTATGTATTTCTATGGGCAATTCCATCGAAAGGGCAAAATTTGTATACTTCGATGCAAAAGAGAAATAATCAGTTGATGTCGGGCTAGCTTCAGGTTATCGCTGAGGTTCGTTCGATAACTGCCGGAGTCCTTCACTAAAAAATGATGTACATAAATTGGTTTAATATTACGATTTATTGAAAATGTCGGTTTTTGTACCGGTCCTAAAGGTATTGGTGTAGGTCCTCGCAACTACATTTCCGGAAAGGGAGTCAATTCTCGCCCCATCTGAACAAGAATATATCCAAAAAGGCGGAAAAAGGTACCTCACCGCCTCTAAATACCTCATCCTATTTACAATAGGAGAGGGAGTAGCTATTCATTGGCCATCCTCTTCGTAAAGCATCATTTATATTAACGAAATTGTCCATGATTGACTGTAACAGCATCAAGCGTAAAAGCGCTGTTCATATTTTCAACCGCTTGATCTGCGTTTTCTTTACGAAACGCGCAGAAAAGTTTTTTTATGGTATGAAATGTCATCTTTCCAACGTCATCTAGCAGAACCCGACCGGACTTACATATATAATGCGAGATATAAGTAATAATTAGAAAATCTCCCTCCAACTAACAAAAAAATAATTTCTTCACACTCTTCCCCAGGTACACCAAGTAAATACTTTTAAACTAAAACGTTGAGGAAAGAAAATATTAATTCAACTTATTATAAGATTATAGATCCATTTCTGCTTCATATTGTTTATTTTTTTTTAGATAAATTATTGACAGCTTTCTTGTTTTTCGTAAAAAGCCTTAGTACTGTCCGTTTACTAGGTTTTCTGTTCACCAAGTGCCCTATTTAGTGTAGCTTACTGTTCCTCATATTGTACATACCATGTATTCAGTAAATGTACATATGTATATTATTTCCTATTCCTTTTCGTTGGAATTATAAGCTGCTGCTTAGAAGACGTCTGCGCGCGTCACTTCAGTTCCATGTAAATACATATGCATACATATGTATATGTACATTTTCGCTCATTCGTCTATGCTTCTACCCTGCAGGGCAAAACAACTAAGCGTTAACTAGAACCCAACTGGTATGCTGTTTAACACCAACTAGTTCAACTTCCATCTGTTTTCCATATAAAAAAACTGCTATTTTAATACGACGATGTTCTTCGTACTGAAAATTGTCCGCCTTATACTAGTTGTATACCAGTTCATCATGTTGAATTTCTATTTCATCAAAAAAAAAAAAAATTAAATAAGAATAAAAATGCTGCGACAAGAATCAAAACGTGAACCTAATGAATCGTAGTTATAACCACCAACAACTAGGCTATTGTTTTGTTGTTGATTACAACAAATTTACGCACTTTAACGGAGCTTGTAACGTAGCCGTGACAAACCAAAAATAAAAAAATTTTACGAACGGTGTGGTAGAGAAACTATCTGGGCGCCTAACACGCTACAGCGATAGACGCTAAGAACTCAGCTATCCTGATGATGTTTCGGTAAACGTCATTCTGAGCACTTTAACAGAGCTGAGCAAAGAATGAAACTCAGTCGTAGATAGCAGTTATAACAACAAAAAATTTTGTTGGATATTATTATTAACCCTGTTACTGGTGGACTGTTACACCAATAACCAACTGGTAAGAAGTCAGCTAAAAAATACTAGTATTTAACCAGCCTACCTTCTCACTACAGGGAATATGCTAGTACGCATGTTAAACAGACATATGTTTGTATGTATGTATGTTGTATGGTGATATAATTCATCTATATGTTCACTTATACCCTGCATATGGTTCATTAGAGCAGTCCAGTCGGTACTCAACTGTAGTCCAATAATATTATGTTAGTATATATTATGTATGTATGTACTGCATATGTCATGAATGTCATTTTTTTGCATATATTCCATGTACTCCAAGGAGTAAATTTTTTGAACAACTTTGGAATCTGGTTTCATGTATGCACTCCATGGATTACTCGAGTGCTATGCAGGAAAGGGGTATATAGGGCAGTCCTAGAATATCAAACTGTTAATTGGACCAATATTTTTATGTATGAATTGTGGTTAGTTTAAGATTAATCCATCGTCGCATGAAGTATATGAATATTTCATGCGTGCTCGAAGAAGTCGCATTGTATGCAGGGTAACTTACAGTCATATTGACAGCACTTTGTATATAAAGCTGCTGCCAAGTTTTAGGTAAATTATTGTACTCAAACATACATGAAAGAAATAAAGGATTATTATTAAAGTGACATTAAAAGAAGACGGTGGTTTGTCATTATTAGGACGCAGCATTTTTCAAGGTATCTTTTTTTCTTACTCCTTAATTTCTAAGTCTAACAGCTTTCCTTGCTCTACACCAATACAAACATCAAACTTTTCTGGAAAGCATTCGAGATGGCGGTCGTATTGGCGGAATAATTAGCATGCTGTACTGACATTCCGACGACCAGTCTGGGTCCGACTAACATCCAATATTATAAGAAATTAATTTTTCTATAGTGTTTTTCTAACACGAATTAAAAAAAGATCTTCATAAAAATCCATCGGTCGTTCGGATGTGGCTGAGAATAAATTGTTGGTCCCCCATTTTGTTGGAGAAACATAAAGACCTGTGCCATAATTTGTAGAAGAAGCTGGGCCGAAAATCGCTCTATTAGTTCCATAAAAAGTGCTAATTATGTCTTCTTCTTCTTTATATTAAATACTTACAAAATTATTTTTTGATTTCGATTATTTAAAATGAATATTAAAAAATTTGTTATTAAAAATTATAATTTTTATAATTATTTTAGTAACTACAATTCAATGTTTTTTTTATTAATACTGTTTTTAAATTTTTTATTTTAATTTTTTTTCATAAATTTATATATTTATTTTATATTCATATTTATATGGTATGTATTTATTAATACTAATTTAATTATCATAAATATTATACCTGCTAAATTAGCTTAAAAATAATAATAAATAAAATTTGCCTCACTAAATTTAGGAAAATTTACACACAATAAATACATACATATGCACATTGACATATATATACATATATTGCCATCGTAAATGAATATTTTTTTTCATTACATTTACTTTTCTTTTCCAGTTCTCCTTAATGACATTCCGTTATGTGGCAGCTGAATTAAATTATTTATACAAAAAGGTGAGTTTTATAATAAACTTCATATATATACATACATACATATGTAGTTATGTGACACAAATTAATTCTTATAATTAACAGTAATTTATATGACAACTTCTTATTACTACTTTTTACAACAATAACTAGCATTTGGTATAGTTTAATGCAACGTTTACTACTACAACAACAATTACCAATTGTTGCTCTTTCATTTCTTTTTAACTTACATATATGTATATGTATATATGTGTATACGTTCATTAATATTTTACCTACAAACATATGTATGTATGTATGTGCATACATATAAACTTAAGACGCTTATGAAATCCTTATACATGCATACGTACATAATTGATCTTAATCGGCTTTCGAATATGCACTCCAATTCCCATTTAGTCATAAAGATATTTATGTAATAGAATCACTTAACAAACTAAAGATTACACATAAGAAGTGCACTTTAATACTCGCATATGTACTTACGTATGTCTGTTATATGCATATATATCTACATATGCATGTATGTACATTCTTTAATATTTGATAGGAATATTTGTAGGTATTTATTTAAGTACTAGTAAGTGTACAAATGTATGTCTGTATGTATGTATGTGCATATAACACTTTGACTACCTAATTTCAATTGTTGTATTGGCAAGTTTAAATGCATTATGTTGCACATAAGTGCACTCCTAAATGCACATTTGAGAGCATTAATGTTGGAAATGTACATTAATATATGCATGTATGTATGTATGTATGAAAATGCTTGGGCGTAGAGGCATGTTTGTCTTTTATGTGTAAAATCATTACAAGGATTTCGCACGTTGGCGTCAAAGTCAACGTCAATAACGGTTATTTACCCCACAGCATTCCAATAATAACTTCTCATAAGCCTCACATACTCGTATATACATATGTATGTATATATGTATGTATATTTATCGGAGGATTTGTGAAGATGTATGTGGTGTGTTGCTCAATGGAGGGCCCACTGACAGATTGACTGCTGCCACACGTGCACACACACGTACTACAGTATTCTTTATGCAACTGTATATCCTTTACATACATACATACATACATATTTTCCATATTTCCACAAAACTCTCTATGCAATTGTCAAATGTTACACTGTCTACTGCTTCCTAACCAACACGTGTGTGATGAACTCGAGTACTGCCATTCGTGCCTCAACATGCGACATTGGCTGGTGGTAGTCGTCGTGGAATTCCCGTTCGGTCTCTAAACTGAATATTTGTGTATTTGGCTGTCACTTTGTCAGACAGATAGAAGTACAAAATTGTCATGTGCTGTTACTGTTGTTGTTGTGTTGTATTTTTGTTGTTTGTTTTTGCAGCTACTGTTGCCCATGTTGCTGCTGCTACAGCTGATGTTGACAGTTATAAGGCAATGGTAACAATATTGGTTTTATGTCAACTCGAATATATTCTACATATTTGAGTATTGCACCCCCGCACGCCCCTGCCACCTTGACTGGTGGCTTGTGTGACTTGTGTTTATAAATATGTACATATGTACCTACATACATCATCTGTGTCTAAAAACATACAAATATACATAAATACATGTCTCTAATCGGATCACAACTGCTCACTATTGTAGTAGATTTTATGCCACAACCAGTGAGCTGCCAGTATTTGCACTCTTGCACAGAGTTGAACAACCCACATTGAGGTTGGTAGAAGAGAAAAAATCCACACACACCCACACAAAAAGAGGAAGAGAATGGAAAGCGCTAAAAAATAGCTTATGTTGTCCCACAATCGTAGTTGGAAAAGCGAATTTACAAGGGTTTGAATATTTGTTTGCGCTTTAGCGTTTGCTTGAGGGTGTGTGTAGAGAGGAAATGCTTGTAAATAAATTAGTAAAGTTTTAGGAAATAATTTTTTTAAAATACGCATGACAATTGCATGTTGTTGGTGGGTTTTGTGTGTGTAAGTTAGACAATTTTCGAGAGTTTTCCAAAGTTTAGAAACAAACATATAAAGCAATTAAGAATCAGAGTGAAAGGAATAATTCAAAATAAAACGGAATCCAATAAAATGAAAAAGTAAAATTCAAATAAAAAAGTATAAAAAATAGTAAAGCAAAAAAAAAAAACAAAAACGAAGAAAAAAAGAAATTGAATAATATAACATAAAATAAAGTAAAATAAAATGAAAAGAAATCAAAATCAAAATCAGTTGAATAAAATAAAATAAAATAAAATAAAATAAAATAAAATAAAATAAAATAAAATAAAATAAAATAAAATAAATAGTAAAAGAAATAAAAATAAAATGAAATGAAATAAAATGAAATGGAATGAAATAAAATAAAGTGAAATAAACTAAATAAAATAAAGTAAAATTAAGCTAAATTAACTTAAATGAAAAGAAATTTAAACTAAGTAAAATGAATAATATAATAAAATAAAATATTATGGTAAAAGAAAATAAAGTTAAACTAATTAAATAAGAAATAGGAATTTTTAGTAAAATTAAGCTAAATTTAATATAAATCAAAATAAGGTAGAATAAAAATAAAAATGACTTCAGTTAAATTAAATGAAATATGATAAAATAAAATTACAACAAATCAGATAGAATTAAATAATGTAAAATAAATTAAAACAATAAAATATAAATAATATAATTAATATAAATTGTTTCAATTTTAAGAAAAAATTAAATGAATCTAGCGATATTAAATAAAAAAGACTGAATTGAAGTCAATTTGAATAAAAATTAAATAATAAGAAAATTAATTTGATTAAATTTAGTTTAAATTTTGTGTATTTCTATCGTTATTTTTAATAAATCACGTGACCTACATAGTCAACACAGTTTATTAGCACATATTTTTAAATTCGTCATTCTGCTGTTTGTTGCCAATAATTTCAGCCCTCATTTTATGTATTCCAAATGCTGCCAACAGAAATAAATTTGTTATATTCAATTTACCAACGGTTAGCAACTTTTGTCCTCTTCATAGTCTCATACATACATACATATCTGCATGCATAGTCAACAATCAACTGCAAAATGCTGACGCCACATGCTGAGACGAAATGAATTGAACTAGTTTACAAACAAATAATCAAACGAACATGCACATATTTCAATAAAAGTTCAACACATAAACTGACGTCAGCCTTTGGCTGCCTAACAGTCTATTTATCTATTTATGTTTGCATGTGCATGTGTTCGTATATATGTACATATGTATGCATGTTGCTGTTAGCCTGCTTGTTTTGCCACCCCATGGCGTAGGCGCATAAAGATTGTTTTCAGCCAGTTAGGCGCCCCTCATTGACAGCTTTTGCTGCCAGCAGCACCCAAAGGAGGCACCAACCCTGCCACTTACTTTCATTTAACAGCCTTGTTGTCCTATCGACCGCCTTGAGCATCAGCTTATTTGCTGATTAAATGTCAAAATGTGATAAGCAGCAGCGCGGCGACGCTGATTTTACAGCCTCAATTGTCGTTAACTCGCCTATTCGCTTTCCCGGCCACGTCATAGCATTGGCAAGCTTATGAAATTGCTTGTTGGCATCAACATCCTTTCGTGCCAAGTCATTGGTGTCATATTCTCGGCCTTCCTACGTAGCCGTACACAAGTGCTTTATACTTGTTTTCCTACGATTTATTTTTCATCTTCTGACATTTGCCTTTTCAATTTGTGTCTCCTTAACTTTTATTGCGCTTTCATTCAATTTTATTATAAGCTTTTATTGCACTTTTATCATGTTTCAAACACAACTTAAAACGAATGTCTAGAATTTGTTGAAAATATCAGCAATTTATTTACATAATTCCTGTTTCGGGACACTTAGGGGACCTCAGTTATCTGCTTTTTCAGTTTTTGAGTTTTGCTGATTTTGTTTATTTTGCAAATATTTGAGGTTAAGGAAATTTGAAAAAAAAAAACAATTTATGTATGTTTGTCATGCTGACTGAAAACATATCAGTCGGTGAATTATACAAAAATATATTTTAATTGTGAAGTTCAAGAAAATAAAGGGTTTGAATATTGTTTGTGTCTAATAAAAAATATTTATAAAGCAACAACCAATATTAGATGCACTCTAGGATGCACTCGTCGTGTGAACTTGCCACACAAGAAAGGTTCTTAATTCGATAGGGATAAAATAAAATTGTTCCAAGTATAGAAAAAAAGACAATTTTTAATTTTTAGCAGATTAATGTAGGTAGTATTCCTTTGCTGCCCAGTAATAAACTGGTCAAAAAAGTACTAGTATACAACTTGCATTCCCTGACTAATGTTATACTAGTCCCAAAAGGCCCAAACTGCTACCAATTGCATAATGCATTCAATATTAATAAAATATAATTTTGAATAAAATTCAAAAAATTTAAAATTTAATAAAATGTGTTTTTCATTTCAAATTTCATTTCTGAAAATTTTTACTCAAGCCAAATTTTAAATAAAAAATTAATTTCATTTCAAAAATGAGCTAGTCACTTTTTTAGTTCAGTGTTTATTGTCAATATAAATACATTATAATTTTTAATAATATTCAAAAAATTCGGCTTTATAATAAAATGTGAATTTCAATTGAAATTTTCTTTTTCAAAAATTTTACTCATGCCAGATGTTAAATAAAAAATTAGTTTCACTTCACAGGTGAGCTTGTTGTCTAGTTACTATAGAACTAGTTACTTATTTATCCAATTGGAACTAGTATGGGACTAGTATATTTTTGAATGCTGCATTCAAATTGCCAATTAGTTGCATGAAAAATATTTTTTTTTAACTTGTTAGTCATACAAATTTGGAAGTACTTTTTAACTAGCTCATTTGAATAGAAGGTATTTAGATTTAGGTATCTTCAAGATCAATGAACTACAAAAAATCTAACTATCACCAAATAGTATAATATCCCGCCTTTTTAGCAGCTTAAAGCTGTTACTTAACACTTTTATTTTAGCCAACAATTGAGTTCAACGCTCGCTTATTAAGATGTTTCTTTATTTTTTGATATATTCTAC